CGGAGATCGTGCGTGTAGAGTGCGCGAAATGTAGGCGAGAGCGCGATGCACCCTGGACGCGGGGAACCCTTTGCGGAGATCGTGCCTTTGTAGTACAACGGTAGTACGCGGAGTATCTGGCGAGCTGGAAGATGAGAACTAGCGACTTGGTAGTACAACTTTAGTACGCGGAGTATCTGGGGAACTGGAAGATGAGAACTGGCGACTTGGCAGTACAACTTGAGTACGCGGAGTATCTGGGGAGCTGGAAGATGAGAACTGGCGACTTGGTAGCACAACTTGAGTACGCGGAGTATCTGGGGAGCTGGAAGATGAGAACTGGCGACTTGGTAGTACAACTCCAGTACGCGGAGGTGACTTGCGAGAGGTCAAGAACTTGCAGAACAAAAGGTGTTCCTGCGCTGCAGAAAGACATACAGAGAGAGACATGTACACACACACAGTCACCCACACACTGCCTCAACACACTCGACTTAGCACTTCACACTGAACACTTAACACATAACTCACACTCTAATTTCACACGTGATGAAAATTGCTATCCACAGTGACCCGAATGCATGGGCTGTCGCGGTGGCGTGAGACAGGTTCAGAGCTTGCACGGCGAAAGCTAACCTTGTGCGCGGCGGCTCAAGCAGACGAAGGGCACTGAAGAATGTACTTGCAAGAAGTTTCAACACACCCCATAAGCTTCTTGTCAATAGGCGCACTGACCATGGCTGCTCTGGAGGACGCCGTGCTGCGAAACTCGGAGGACGGACTGGAGGTGGTATGCACGGTTTTGAAGTTCGGGGAAGAAAAAGATGTTTAGATATAAGGTTTACAACTTTTGTTAGGCCACATCACACACAGAGACCCACGCACTGCCTCAACTTACTCGAACACACACACACATACAGAGACTCATATACACACGGACATAGATACACACCCAGAGACCCTCACACTACCTCAACTCACTCGACTTGAACACTTCACACTGAACACTTAACAGCTAACTCACACTCTGACTTCCTACGTGATGAGAAATGCTTTCGGGCCACTCGTCGTCTAGTTTTTTAATCAAGCTCTAAAGTGCTAGTCAAGGTCTATTTGCACTAAAGGGGGGTTTCGTCAACTGATCCAGCTCTTGCGAGCAACGTTCTAAGTGTGTGTGTGTGTGTGTGTGTGTGTGCGGGGGGGGGAGTGGCATCCTTATTCTAACTGGGCCGCTTCATTGCTCAATCCAGACACGTGAGCGTTTCTCAAAGGTGCAGCCTTTTTCTTTCGACAGTCGCAGCCTTACGTTAGGCTTTCCGCAATGCTTAGGTCGCGGGCAGCGGCACAAACTCGCGTCAAGTCTGCACGAAGCCCTCTGAGGGCGTAGCGTGCTCGAGGGGATGCACAGTAGAGTACCAAGAACCAACCGGTTTAAAGATCTGGGGTGGTGGTTACGGCCTCAAGTAAAGGCTGCTGCTTGTTCTGCAAGGAAATCAACTGCGTTTCGATGTATTAATCAAAAAAGAACCTTCCTTGTGAAGCACCCACGCCTGTGGATTGCATCAAGGCAGCGATGCTTGGGGCAGTGGTGCCCGAAGCGCCGATGGGGGAGGGTGACCCCTTGATGCCGGCTCTTTTCGCTTTGGGTTTGGACTTCGCCCTCCGTGCCCTGCCAGGTCACGGCCATCCTCGACGACACGCCACGGCCCCGCCAGACCACTCTCCAAACGCCTTGCCCACCACTTGGGGCACGAGAGTAGCAAGGGTTTTCTGGCCTCCGTTGGGGTGGGTGGTGAATTCTGCCCTGATTGGCTGGGAGATGGGTAGCTGGTTGGGGAACCTCCTGCCCGGGTGTTGGCAGTGGTGGGCCTGGATGCATAGCTGCCAAGGGGTTTGAACCCCCTATAGTCCACAAGCGGCCACAAAAACTCGCTATTCCGTAGCCGGGCAACCCGCACCCCAGGGTTGCGGTGGGGATTAGGTTGGAACAGACTAGACCCTTCTGCGTATATTCCAGAAGGCCAAAAAGTCGAATCATTTTTCCAATTTCTCTTCGGAGAACGCTCAACGAGCTCAGTTAGCAACGTTTCATGATATTTTAGTTTATTATGCGTGCCTTTTTCGATAAAACCCTGATGCGATGTGAAAGGAATGGTACTATAAAATTCCAAAAGTTGGTCCACATGTTTCTTATTTCTATGGACAAAACAAATTCTGTAGCAAAAAACGCTCTTGCTAGGGCCCCAGGCCAACTAGTCTGTAGTGGTGAAATGGCACCGGGGTGCTCCGGCAAAGTTTCCAGTGAGTTCAGCAAACTGCATGCACATTCTGGTGGGCAGCGATAGCGGCGAAAGGCGCCTGGTGCGGGGAGGTTGTGGTCTTGGTGGCTCCCGCCGGCTTTCGTCAAGGGTTTGGAAACAAGGTGGTTCCCACCCATGGGCGGCCAAGTGCTGGGCGGACGCATGCGCAGCCCGAAGAGGGAGCAGCAGGGAGGGCGCGGCCCTCTCAAGGCAAAAGGCGGCCGGTGTGGGCATGCAGTTGGCCCAAGAAACCCAACATGTCGCGGACCCAAACTTCCATGTGGGCCAGGGTGAGGGCAGGAGCAGTGAGAGGCCCTGTTTGCTGGACACTGGAGATCGGTAAGGGTGGCACAAACGGTAAGGTCCTGGTCGGTTGCGAAAATGGCTGTCTTCGGGCGCAAGAGGTAGTTTGCCCGACGACACGTAAAGGTGAAGAGTAACCACCGGAGGGAAGCCCATGAGGCTGGTGGGTAACGAGAGCTGGCGTTCCGATGGGAACACTGAGAACTCGGAGGTCTTGGCCTTCTTCTGGTGGAGCGTGATTGCTCACCCCTCATTCACAATATGCGTTTTCACATTCAAAGTTGGCCTCGGACCTTGACCCCGCCCTCTCATGACTCATCTCCACCTGGTTGCTGGCCAGTCAGCCTTTCAAGCCTTCGGCACCAAAACTGGTCGGGTTTCCCAACCTAGCATTTTGATCGCAGTGTTCTCACGCTACCAACACCACTTGCCATGCTAAAATCCATGTGCCAAGCGAGAGTTGGCATTGCAAGGCTGGTTTCGCACCACCCATAACCCTGATAAAACATATAAGAACAAAAACCTACATTGCTGCACGATATAATTCATCATTTCGTCGAACTACACCAAAACCAATTGGGAACATCTGATGTTTAAACCGAAAAAAAAACAACGCGGTTGCTGCCTGAGGGCGGTGGATGCCCGACGCGGCACGTGCTTTGGTTGATTGGACAACCCACGACAACATCATTTTCCCGGAACGAAGCAGGAGCACAACCCAGCGAGGCCGTGCGAGGCGTTTGACGTTTTCACTGCTCGGCAGGCCGAAAAACACATATGCTGTCATTGTTGTCATTTCGTTCGTGGACGGCCGTGGACGCAGGCTGGGCACAAAACCAATTGACCAACATGGTCCTGTAAATTAAAACCCCACTAAACTGTGACATGCCTTCAGCACTTCTGCGTTCCTGGTGAGCCAAACTCTTCTTTGGAATTTCTTTGTCGGGAACCAAATAGAATCCACGATTGCCATGACAAAATTGTGTTCGGGGCTGGGGGGCCAGCACGGACATGCGAGGTGATTGCCAGCGGCATGGACGCTCATGTGTTTGTTGGCTGCGCTGAGTTCCGGCCAGACCACATTCAGGCGAGTTCTTTGTAGCGTCTGCTTTTTTGTGAATCCAAAGCTCGCCAGCTTTGGTCATCCAAGATTGAGGAGGTGCACGAAAACTGTCTTGCACTGCGAACAGCGAACACACTGGAGCAGCTGCGACAGCTTATTGAATTACACCACCAATTTTCACAGACGATCTGCCAAGTGCATGTGACAATGGGCCTTGCTTCCCCAATTCGTCTGCCCCTGGGGATGAGGGTTTGAATGAGTTTTGAGCTGTGTGGTTGGAGCACAAACCATGGCTGAAAGCTGGGGCATCATCATCTAACCCCGAAAATCGATCTAAACCACTTCAAAGCGCAGTGTGTTGGCATGTTCCAGACAAGTCAGCGTCAAAACAGCTGTCGCACGGCGCAGCTGATTGTCGCACAGCGCAGCTGATTTTGCCTGAGCGAAAAGCCATGATGCCGTTTTTGGCGTGATTTCGGCATGTCATGTGCACTTCTCGATTGAACTCACATGGCCCGCGTCCTGATCCAAGCCAGCTTCCTCCTTCAACTTGGTCAATCGCTGTTGCTCACCACGCGCCGGAGCTCCATCTCTCCACAGAGGATGAAGCATCTTCTGGTCAGTCAGTAGTTCCATAGTCCTGAAGTCTCGCAGCTGCAGCCGATTTTGAGCTGCCCTTCAAGGTGGATCCCGCCCAGGTGAGCCAGTGGGGGTCCCCGCCGCATTTGAAGAAACCAGCATGGCTGGCTGCCTTGCGCTCATTTTTTTTTGCACGAGTCGAGCCGCCATTCACGCAGGAAGTGCACAGGTCAGCTTGCGCAGTATTTGGAAGAGTCTCCTTAGTGAAAAGGGGCCAAAACAAAAACCAAAAGACTCAAAGACGCCTCGTGATGTTCAATCCTAGCTATATGGTGAAGCCAGTGGCAGGGGGGAAGAAGACAACAACTCACCGATGTTCACCTAATATATACATTCCAGCACCAGCACTGCAACATCCTAGGTTCTTGGGCTAGTATATTATTATTATTATCAAGTTATGTTTGGAGATAGTCAGAGTCACAACGTTTACCCACTCCGCATGTACAACTCACTTTCAGCTCGATCACACAGCGTCTCACAGGTGCTGCACAGGTACTACACATGCACTGTACACCCTTGGTCTGCTCTCACCAGTTCAACAGTGCAGTATAAGCAGCTAGTTGCTTTGACAACTATGAGATCAGCAAGTGTTCTAGTGAACACGTGGCTGTGAAAGTTTAGGTCAGGCTAAGGGCGACTGTTGCCTCGATTCATATCTACAGGAGGAAGTCTGCCCTTAGCAGAAAGGTATTGGCACAGCCTGCCAAGCAAAGCACTTACTTCAGCAAGTGCTTGCCAAGCGCAAGGACTAACTTGGCCTCATCACTTTTAGCTGCCTTCTTCTTGGGAACTGCCACACGAACACCCTTCTTCTCCTCATTGATCAATGCGGCCTGAAACCCAACACCCAAAGCAGCAGAATTTGAAGGAGCCGCAGTAGTACTTGATGTAGTAGGCATGTGTGTTTTTGCGGAAGGGTCAGCCTTGGCATTCTCATACTTCTTGGCTGCCTCGATCGCTTCAGCCATCAGTTTTGCTCGGTGGCTACGGCTGTGCTTCTCATCATCTGTTGCAAGCTTGTTGATTGCAACAGTCTCGGGTTTCTTCACTGAGTTCTTGGCGTTGCGGATGCACTCATCCAACTTGGTGTCTGTCTCGAGCAACTCCTTGAGCAATTTTACTTGCTCTTCTGCACTGACTGGCATGTCCACACCAAGCTGCGCAAACATCTCTCGGTTTCCCTCGCGTTCCTGGTTTGGTGTAGTTCGATCATCCTGCTCTGAAGCCGCCTGTGCTTTCTTCTTGCTCGCCTTCTTTGCGGTTGCTTTTTTGGCTTTCGTAGCTGATGTGATCCACTGCCTCAGACTGTATGCATTGGCAATGGAGTCAATAACAAAAACATAACAACATTCATAACGCATAATTAAAATCACACACTCGCTGACATACTGACACACATAACAATACAAATAACATAATTGCATTTTATCACACCTCAATTGTTAATTTTCAATATCACCGTTTAGGTCACTCGATCGAAAGCACAATACATAACATATATATAATATACATTACGCAACTTTAAATAAGCCAAATGGCTTCATGGTCTTCTCCATAGTAGCCTGCTTGTCTCGTACTTCCTTCTCCAGTTTGTCATCCCAATTGGATACTGGAACCAAGCACGACAAAGAGAGTTTGAAGAGTACATGTTGTGAGTTTTGAAGCACATCTTTGTCCTTTTGGGGGAGCCTCTCCAAAAGAACCAAATCCAAATCGTTGTCGCCACCGTAAATACTGTGCTTGGCCACAACAGTGAGCTCCTTCTGGATGGACTTGAAGAAAGCCAAGTCAGACCGTGTTACAGTCTTTGCAGCCGTGGCTGGAATGCAAAAGTCTGCGGTGTTGCCGATGGGCTTGTCCATGTACCACTCAACCTGTGACAAATTGTAATAATCAATGCAATTAAATCAAATCAAACCAAAACGATACATGAAACATGAAACTTGAGATTGAGCGGACGAAACATATAAAGTGCAATCAGCACATGTTTGTTAGAAAAGAGCTGGTGGTATGCTGAAATTAGCGTTCCTATATAGTCTATTTTATTTATATAGTTGTCTTGTGTTTTGCGTAACAATATTGTTTGTTTGTTTGTTTGTTTGTTTGTTTGGGTTTCGGTTTCGGTTTCGGTTCCACTAGATCTTTTACCTTTGCTTATTTCATCCAAATCTGCCAAGAAACTCCAAAGAAATGGCAAAGGAACATAGAGCCAGGAGTCTTGAAGGGAGAAAACTTTCCACCCACCAAGGGCAAGCACAATTCATCCGGAATGGGAACCTTGACTCTGACTTCAGGTTTGCTTGCCTGCGCGTTCACAACCACAGACTTCGTGTTGGCCAAGAATTGGTAAGCGTCCCAAACCAAAGAGCTCAACCGCGTCTCCACCTGTTTCAGAAAGAGCACATTGCAACCTCTGAAGACCATGCGAAGCGCTTGCGCTTCTGGGGATTCATTGAAGGCCTTACAAAAGTCTTCGGTAGAGAACGCATTTGCATCGTCCAGTGGAATCAAAGATTGCGGCGCTGTTTTAGCACTATCTGCGCTATCTTTCTTCTCATCCACCTTGT